TCTCCCATAAGAATTGTGTATTATTGAATGTCCTCATCAACAGAGTTCATATCAGTGTCATCCATTCACCCAACGTAGATGCCAAGTCAGACCATTCGGTCGTATCAATTCATAAACCGAATGAAAAACTAACGGCTCTCGTAAGAAAATGCGCGGGAATATTTTACCTCTAATTGACCATTGCTAAAGAACAAACTCGCGCATAATAGGATACGGAAATAGATAAACAGGACGATTATATTGTCATTAGGAGTTCTGTAGAGATTGCAGAACAGGCTGATCTTGGCCAGCAGGAATAAATTGACTTAATGATATGGATCGATCGAGTTGTTATAGTACAACGTAATGACATAAAGGACACGGTCGTCTTGTAAGGTTCAAGTGTGTGTTGTAAGGACTCATGGACTGCGGTCGTGTTGTAAGGACACGTGTGTGTTGTAAGGACTCAAGGACTGCGGTCGTGTTGTAAGGTTCAAGTGTGTGTTGTAAGAACAACGATTGAATCAACAACAACGGAGGTAAGCTTAGGATGCTTTCATCAATGTAAGGTATAGCACATGTGTAGTATTAATGGTATATGTTTTAGTGTATAAGAAGTGTCATACTGTAGGGATAACACATGATGGTAACGTTTAGGTGTCAACCATGACTAATGAATTATTAGTTTCACATCCTTCCATATAACATATCATTATCATCTTATTTCAATTTGTTTATCCTGTCAAATACAAAGTACTCATTGTGATGTTTTGACGTTTCCTTGTTTAAGTTAATGCGATTGATATAAAAAAAAATCAAAACACTAATTGACATATACGTGATTGGACTTAACTTGCCATCGTGTTGCCAAGTATCGTCAGTTGATATCAGTGATTATTCAACACCGAGTCGTTGTACATTGATAATACAAATGCTGACATGTAGTTTCAATGCGATGTTGTTGTTTTTATAACGAACTTGGGTAGCTCCATAAATGATGTTAATGTTTAATTCAACAATTGGCTATAATATTTCATCTATGTTTAAACGTGGATTTAAATGCGCTGTTTATTTGTGTGTGTGTTTTTTTGTTTTTTGTTTTTTTTTTGTTTTTTTTGTTTTTTTTTTCTTACAATATTTCAAGAATAACCTTCAGTGTGGACATTAGATTATTAGATTGGCCGGCTAGCTAAATGTTGACATTGTGACACTTAATTCGACGGCAACTGCCTATAACTTTTCATATGTGAACTTTTCCAGAAATTTCGAATTTAGAATGTATTATGGTACTTAATGCAGAGATACAGGAACCTGATATAGCCTAGTCATGACGCTAGTTGACGTCTTCTTCGTTAAATTTACTAGAACCCACGAGTACTAGGGCATTAGCCAGCTGTTTAAATACCGTCATCAACCACCTTCTTGGTCACAATTGAAAAAAAAAAAAAAAAGACAAATACGCGTATATTGTGAAATAGAGGAGGTAGATATGCTACAGAAATCGAGTTAACGATGTACGGATGGTCGAGACGACAAACAATTGGAGAGGTAGTAATCTAATTCTACAATTGCATGCACCGAATGTTTGGTTAGCGATGGTATGGGGGCGTTACTTACATCTCTATTTCCCTTGGTAATCTGTTCTCAGACCTTGTGTGAATTTTTTTATAAAAGATATTGACAAGGGACTGCAACTTCCATTCCTAGGCCTGTTGTACGTCTGTTTTCAGATTGAATTGTCGGAGACACTGATGTGACATTGTTACTATTAACCTCTTTCGGACTGACGTCATATCCGGTCACACTTAGTAGTCATGACACATCCCACACATAACAATTTGGACGGTGTCGGTAACGCACCTCTTTATTAAGATCCTAATATAGAATAAATCTAGTTGACACGTATAATGAAATCATGTTAGTCAGGATGTTGCTAGAGTGATAGTTAACTAAAAAGCATTGATATAAGTGGTGTAAATACATAATGGATTCGCAATATGGACGTCAAATGGAACATTCTGTGTCTGTGAACTACATGGGTTTTTTTTATGAACATCTGAATTTGACTGGAGACCAGAAAACTTGTGCTGCTGTGCTAGAGAGGCTTTGCATTTATCTGTATTCAAACATATCACTTCGGGACATATTGTCTTCAGTATTTGTATATTTGTATCATATTCAATTCTAGACTAGGACAATTTCTCTTCCTTGTTAGCTTGTCAGAAACATTTAACTTTAGCGCATTGGCACTCTTTGGCAAATTTAGCACAACATTGAATTTGCTCATCCACCATTATTATAAAATGGAACTGTAGTAAGTGCAATTGTAGGTTAGCGTAACCTTTTCAAAGGGAAAAACGCTAGAATAAAATTCCGCTAAAGCTTCTACATTTACAGTAAGCCAGAGGTCATGGAAATAATAGCAAAATTCTAAGCTGTTGTGTACGTAAACAGTCTAAAAATAGCTAGTTTCCTCTAGTAAAGGGTTGTCTGTATTTATCAGACTGTTATAATGTATTACTTAGTATACTGTTTTTAATTCCTTAGGGACAATCAGTCAGATAATAGGTGAAGGTGACAGACTAGTCAGATGTGTTACGTTCTGTAACTAACACTGACACTGATCTCATACTGTTATATTAGTCTACACTAACGTTAATGGTTGGTAACGAACGTTTCAAGCCAAGCCTGAGACAACTATTCCAAAAATCCTATCCCACAATGTTTTGTCATGAAAGACTGTTGATAGCTAGCAGTTTTATATGATATCCTGTTTACAAATCCTTATTGGTACATATGAGATGCAGCCAATGATTCATGGCAACAAATTTACATTTGAAAGGGTCAATGATAACATTTTGTGAAGAAGTCTGCGTATATCTTTAATATATTAATAAAATTCGGACCAATTAAAGCTCCGACTCTGATGCACACTTCCCGAAATAAATAAATTGGAAATAGATATATAGAACAAAAAATATAAAGGTAAATCATAGTTCGAACAATTATTTCCAACCTCCAAGTCAAGATGGCCGCCGACCCCTCCAACGGTGGAGATAATATATTGCCTGATACCTCTTAATGTAATCGACGTCATGCACACACATTGTGTGGCATGTGATTATCTGAAAAACACGGCTGCTGACGTGTAAACAAAATAGTAGTTATAACACACAGTCAATAACCGACACGGAACAATAATCACCTGGTGCGTCATCCACGACACCTGACATGTAAATCTAGGCCTATTTCATTGATATGTCAAAATGGGAAAATGGAGTAGTCCCAACTCATTACAGATCCTATATTAACGAGATCAAACTCTCTAACCTTCTAATCAAGAGGAAGTTTATATAGATCAATATCACGCTATTAATGTACTCTAAATATATTTCCAATTTATGAAGTAATACATGAATTGGAAATGTTTTGATTCATTGTACCATAAGAATGGTATCAAACAATTTGGTAATGTTTCGCTAGGTGCTATCAGACTTGCCTATCCAGAGAGGTCAGTTTCCTTTGGTGGACATGAGTCAAATTACAAAATGACGCTACTGTGTCATTCCACGGCACATATCAATTTTTATAACACGTCTTTCTAGGAGACAACAGTTTAATGAATTGCAATTTTCTATTCATTTTCCTAAATGCCATTTAAGACATATTGGTAATGACAAAGATCGGTTGGTTTCCAAATTTACTCACTTAATAAACATGTCATTTGGGAGCTTATGCCGTAAAAGCAAGTTCTTTGTGAGGAATTGCCAGGTGTATCGAAGCTATTTATCAGTGCCGTATTTGCAGTGGCTTATAGACCGTGCGGAACTTCAGGGTTCTGCAGGGATGCCGGTTATTTAATTAGATAAGTGTTGGTATACGTTGTCAGGCGGGCGTGACTGACTGTAGGGGCGATAATGAAGAGGAATGTCATAATGAATCTAATATATCTAACGCAATTTAATTACATTTTCACGTTACATGCTAAAACCTGCATCTGAAGTGATTTATCAAAAGTATTCGTCAATCTACACTCCGATTGCTTCAAATCTATGTGTTGAAAGGCTTTTTCTGTCAACTGATGGCATTGCCATCTCGGTAGCTCTATACCTTCTAGAGCAAACTTAAAGACAATATGGCAACTCATTATGTACCTATGTGTAACCTCATTTCTGCTTCCTTAATTAATTCATTCGAAGCCTTTCGGTTTTCCAATTTACTTCGTCACTGCAAAAACATTTGCATTTACATGACAGGATAAGAAAACATTTGGAAAAGAAAATGAAATTTGATGTGTTATAAAGCAATCGAGGCAATGTTGTATATAGGACTGAACAGGAAGCGAGGTAAATTTAGTTTTTGAAACTCCCTTAATCATTCAAGTATCAAACTAGTCACAATGACCTACACGTAATTTGCGTAAACGACGGTGCATTTAATGTAGCCATTTATGCTATCGAGAAACAGCGCGTTCGACGTAGCAAGGCGAGTTTTACTGTTTAGTCAAAGGAAGATAAGGATTCATACGTTCACAGGTAGCAGGAACGAAACATTGATGTGGAATGTAGAGGAGGAAAAGTATCGATCTTGGTTGTTGTGATAAATCATGACCACATGCCAAAGGTCATCTGTACCCATTCATTTGTTTGGAATACAAACAAACCTGATGTTATTCATTTTCCTCTGTCCATTCAAACATCATCGGTCTTGTTGTTATCGAGAAAATCCCCTAGAGTTTGACCAAACTACCCGGACTCACACTTATGGGAATTGAAACAAATGTGACGATTTCACGATTTCTTTCCTCAAGGGAGAAGTATAACAGGCAACAATGAGGTTTAATAATTGTACTCTAATTTATCGGTCGATTGTCATTGTCAATGGTCGGATGGTGCCATTGTGATGTATATCAAGCTCTGTGTCAGAAGTCTTTACGTTGGGAGAATGCTTTGGATGACACTTTATCTACACAGATAAGTATTATGTTTCAGATTGATAACTTAGGATATTCCTCATTTCAGGAAATGCCAGCGTTCGAATGATGGACGGAAGAACGGAAAGAAATCAGTGAACTCTCTACAACTGCCTCAGCTTGACGCGTGTGATGGCTCCCATCTCCTGAGCTCGTCCGACCATTCCCTCATTTGTCAGGACTGTCGTGACGTTTCGGCACGCCAGAGGCGGCGACACGAGAGGGCGCGACCTTGGCAAGACGTTTCCCCTTGCCGCACAGACATGTCGGATGCCGAAAATTCTTCTAAGTCAAAAGGTAAGGGTTTATAACAGAAGCCTTGATTGGCAAGTCTTAACTCCTTCACTAACAGTAACAATCAGTATAGAAGCTGGAATTTTGTTAACATAATCCTCGGCAAACTACCGGTCATACGATCGAGGTACGCATTCTTAACTTTCAAACAGGAGTTTTTGAATGTGTAGATAACGGAAACCGCGGAATTGGTTTACAGTGTAAATGAATATGAAATTATTCTGATCGCTATTTATTCGTAGGTGAGAGGGTGACAGCAATATCAGGTAAAAAGGATACTTCTCACTATAATGTGTAGAGATCCAAAATGTGAAAAAAAGGAACAAACAAACCTCGCCATTCTGGAACGCCTAGCAAATTTCTTAATATTCACCAGGTTGACGTCACTGTCGATCAAAAAAGTGGGAACGATAAAGAATTCATCATTCCATATCACGCGACCGTTTTGAATCGTCTATTGTTATGACTGTTATTATTACAGAGCTAAAGTTTGAGAAGGTAACATTTTGTCTCACGGAGGCAGAGACAGCACAATGGATGTCGGCCCAGCAAATAGAGCGCAGCTTGGTTGGAAGCGCATTCGAACCTCCTCGTCTGGTGGTATGTACTTTTCGTGTTTGTTTGTGATTTACCATTTATAAAGCATATCCTAACAAATATACGTTTTTAGTTAAAGTAAACCTATTTTCTCGATTGCAGATTGGGGTTACCTTATTGATACTATAAATTAACCTGTAAGTTGTCTTATCAGCAAACATCAAAAATAAGTTGTTTTTAATTGAACGTTTTCAGCTTGTGTCATCAAAGATGTCCAAATGCCAATACCTACCGAAGGTGCTCTTAGAGGATCAGACTATCCTACATATTATATATGTAAGTATGACTGTCAGAACTGTTTTGTATGCCCTGTACATTCTATGGGTAAGTATGACTGTCAGAACTGTTTTGTATGTCCTGCACATTCTATATATATGTACGGCTGTCAGAACTGTTTTGTATGTCCTGCACATTCTATATGTATGTACGGCTGTCAGAACTGTTTTGTATGCTCTGTACATCCTATATGTATGTACGGCTGTCAGAACTGTTTTGTATGCCCTGCACATTCTATATATATGTACGGCTGTCAGAACCGTTTTGTATGCTCTGTACATCCTATATATATGTACGGCTGTCAGAACTGTTTTGTATGCTCTGTATATCTTATATGTATGTACGGCTGTCAGAACTGTTTTGTATGCCCTGCACATCCTATATATATGTACGACTGTCAGAACTGTTTTGTATGCTCTGTACATCCTATGGGTATGTACGGCTGTCAGAACTGTTTTGTATGCCCTGTACATTCTATATATGTCTGTTTTGTATACATTCTATGGGTATGTACGGCTGTCAGAACTGTTTTGTATGCCCTGTACATTCTATGGGTATGTACGGCTGTCAGAACTGTTTTGTATGCCCTGTACATTCTATGGGTATGTACGGCTGTCAGAACTGTTTTGTATGCCCTGCACATTCTATATGTATGTACGACTGTCAGAACTGTTTTGTATGCCCTGCACATCCTATATGTATGTACGGCTGTCAGAACTGTTTATGTCCTTAAAATTAGATATGTAGGTGTGGTTGTCGGCCATTTGTGTGTGTGTGTAGTGCATATTAGATATGTAAGTATGGCCTTCAGATGTTCTTGTGTATGTCCTGAAAATTATACACATAAGTATGCCTCAGAAATGTCATTGGATGTCATACACATCATATATGTAATTATTACTGACAAAACTGTTTAGGTATATCCCCAGCATGATATAAGTATGCCAGAACTGTTCATGTATGCACTACATATTAAATATGTAAATATGTCATCGACATTGATTATATAGCATATTAAGCACTACACATTATATAAAAGACAGGCTGTCATTCTCTTGTCCTGCGTTAACAGGTGTTATCACTTATCGATAATTTATTTCGCAAAATATGAAATGACACAGGTATGATTAAAAGTTTGGTAAAATAACATTTTACCTTTGATTCTTTTTGTTTTCAGGATTTTGACACGTGGTCTTTTTGTGATATCATAAGTAAGTACATTTTGTATATGTATTGTTAATCTTCTCCAACCCTAGACGATGAATTACCAATGGTTACTGCCGTGACTAGCGTCTAAAATCGTTATGATTGCATGATCATATCAAGAAAGGGTGAAAAAGGATCGATTTAGTTATGACATTATCGTTAATGAAAGCAGAATCAATTTAAAGGATGTCGTGTTTTATACTAAAATGTCTAACAGGTTTCTGATCTAGCGATGAAATGGCGTGATAGCACCTTGATGACATGTGATCCTGTGTTAGGGGGAAACAGTTTAGTCCTAGCATAATTTAGCAGTTACCATTATGACCTCATTTTTTTCGACTTTTCACTAATGGTATTAATAGATTGCGTTGTGATAACACTTTAATGATCCGCGCACTTTCCTTTGTTGACAAGACATATATTTTTCGGGTCCCACGTGTGGTGCCGGCAGGAATTTCCTTCCTCGCAGCTGGTTTCGCTCCTGTATTTTGGACCTACCAGTTAGTAGTAACATCATTAAACGATATGAAAATCACAAGCGATCAACAAGAAATGTTACTGATCCTCTTTCATTAGATACGTGGCATATCAATTAAAATGTTGTAAATCAATTCTCACTCAGTTATGTGGCAGTATCTCACATTTCCATGAAATATTGATATCTGTAAAAATGTCACAAGTTGTTGTCAGTGTTCATGATTATAATAGGTCCATCGTTCTACGTGGATCAGGTTTTGATTATGTTAAAAAAAATCTGCCATGTTAACGTTTCTATCTTTTTCAAAATTTGCGCAACAGGTGCCAACATTCTTTCTATTCTTACCCGACAACATCATTCTGTCGTTGATGTTTCAACAGCAAAAATTGTTGTTTTAACTCGAATTCAGGCAATTTTGTTACTCTATATATCTATTATTTTACTATAACTAATATTGACATATATCCATAGCCCTTGACTAAGGTTTCTCCAGACGAAACTTAGCGGGTTAAGGAAATGATGAAGCAATAATGAAAAACCTAAGGATAAATCCGTTGACATTTCAAAACCTATCCACGTGATATCCCGGTCACTCCTACCTAATCTCAGATTCGTAAAATCTATTTACCGTCTTCAATTAACGATTACCGGAGGTGGTAGTCAGATCATTTCACTAGCCACAAGGGTGTTTCCTTACCGGTCATATCTATCTTGTAATTATATAATCAGGAAGCAATTTTCACAGTGGAATTGACCGTCTATTTGCAGACGCGGTGGAGAAGAAATTGTCCAGTGTGAAGCCAGGCTGTAGGGCTAAATCGATACTCATACTATGTCAGGTAAGACCTATTTACTTTTTAAAAAAATAAAACTCATCTTATTTGCGATTGGTAGATGTATTTTATATGATTTCACGACAAATTGTGTACGATGTGTGACCTTTATGACGTCAGTATCGTTGGTCAAGAATCGGCTATGAATGTTACGAACGATTTGTTTGTGTATAATATACATCACAGCAATCGCCTGAAGATGGTCGATAGGTCTTAAAACTTTAGCGAAATATCGTGTCGATTTTATCTTTTTAAATATATAGATGAATTAAATGAATTTTCGGATAAACAACGTTTACGTACATGATGCATTGTATTAATGTATTGATATTTTGGACATTGCATCTCAACTGACGAAGGAAAAAAAAAAATAATCATGCGCTGCTGTCAGGGTCTCGAACCCACGATCTACGGTACAAAAAAAGAAAACTGCCAAGAAACTGCCTAACCATCACATCACCACGACCCCCACGACCCCCCCCCCCCCACCTCTCAAAAAAAAAAAAAAAACACACACAAAACAAAACATTTTGAAATCGTACTGATAAACAGATGGGAATTCTCGACATATTATAGTGGCAAATTGTCTAATTACGTGACATGAGCACCTGGATTGCAATGTAAACACATATATGGATACGAATTGTTTATATAACACACATCAAACTTTGGTAAAATTACGACAGGTAATTCAAATTAGGAACCTTCGGATCAACAATATTACTACATCACTATAGAGACAACTTGTCAACATATTCATAAATTAACGTAATGCAACAGTAATCAGTTGGTTTGTTTCATTGAACTACGTTTCATCCTTGTTCTGACATAGTGAATTTCACTCATTCTAAGACTGGTGGTAATTGATTTAACTTTCCGGTGCGATGTATGTTAGGTATCAAGATGACTGCATCTTCTGTTGTCTTCTGGTTTGCCTGCAAATCAATGTCATTCATAACTACCGAAATTCAATATCATGATTGTTCAATGCTTAATTATATCGATATTCTGTCAATGGTAAGATTTTTTTATTATGCTTAAAGAATTTCGATTTCAGGGTGGACCGGGTTACTTGTATATACTTCGTAAATTCGTCATTACGCCTCAGAAACTGAAAAAGGAATCGTACAAGGGCGTGAGAGAGTAAGTACGATATTGGTGTCACTAGCATACAAACAAAGTCAATATTGAACCGTATTAAATATAATTGGTTAAAGAGATGTGAGGTAAATTCTTATCGATATCTTAAAGTTGCGCCATATTAAAAAAGGGAACAAGCATTTGGTTTAAAAACAATAAATTCCGTGTAACCTGTATGTTTTGAAAGTATATAAATATACTAAAGATACACATACAATTGGTCCATGGGTACATATACGCTTGGTATAAATTTAATGTTAGAAAATAATGCTATTTTGATATCAAGGTAATAACAGTAATGAATCTCCCATGTACAATGTATATAGGTTTTGGAAGGACTTAAGCAGTATGGTTAGTAAGATTAACCCAGAGGAGTCCAAACTCCATATTTGTGGATGTGACTTGACAAGCGGACCCCAAGGATATGAGGTATTTTTGTTGTAATCCTACAGTACAGTATAGTAGTAATCCTACGGCTAGGTTAATGTACGTGTAATCCTACATATATTAGATAACTTTGTAATCATAGAATGATCCTGAGTACAGTATAGTAGTAATCCTACAGCTATGATAATGTACGTGTAATCCTACATATATTAGATAAGTTTGTAATCATAGAATGATCCTGAGTACTGACATCACGGATGTACTACAAAGAACAAAACTGGCTGATTTGATTATCCAGTCGACATTAAAATCCGTCGATTAGAAAATAAAGAAACATTTCGGGTCTTATTTCGTTTGGTTTTCCCAAACATGATTAAATTCACTTTTACACATGTTTGCAGGTAATGAATATACTTCAACGGCTGATTCACCATAACATGGTTTACATTGAAAACGCTGTCAGCAACACACAGGAAGGTAATCAACAGTACTGTTATCATTACCCACATGAATCTGCCTCAAAATAAAGTAGAAATGGCGTTTTTTCGCATGGTTTCAAGTTAAATATATACAGAATTTTTTTTCCAATGAAAACTAGCGATTGGAATTAGATGAAATACGAAAATATTTTCCTTAATCAATTTTTAAAAATCGGTTCTCTCTACATGTTGAGTGAATTGTGAGTTAATTGGTGGCTAAGTGCTATCAATCCATATGTGGAAAAAACAACAACAACTGGGTTTTGTTAATTGACTGTCATTTACATGCCAGTTCACTATTCCACTTGAAATTTAAAAACAACTCGCATGTACACTTTGTTTAAAGTTGATGTTTGGTAAATGGATCTGAATTTTTATATTTGTTTTTTAAGATATCCTAGATGTTCTTTACTACGTTTAATTAGAAACTTGATATTTGATTCGTCTATCTTAAAAGGTACGTAATTCTTATTTCAGACCATGACATAGTAACGCTTTACTTTAATAAAAAGCGATATGATCTATGGCGGTCGAAACAAGACGACAGCGATGACGAAATCGACTTCGATGTACTAGACGATAAAAACGACGAGACTGAAAGTGTGGTGAGAACGTGGTCGTCTCTGGCTGCAGAAGCCAATGACTCGGATCAAGGATGACGCGAACTGCTGCAATAAAATATATATATATATATGTATCATAACATTTTCTAGCCTTGTCCTTGGTGAACAAACACCCGAAGATGGTTTGATTTTCAAAATGAACATTCCTTTGCAAAATATTTTTATTAAGGAAGTTTGACTTCTCCAACAAGTTCTCCTGACCAGTATGAAAAACAATTTATCTAACAGGTAAAGCAGAATATATCAAATAACAGGAGCTGGGAAAAAACAAAGACAAGAGAAAATATCTACTCCAGGTGAAAATCGCGCTATCGCTTAATAGTTTCCTTTTCAATTGGTAATAAGGGAAATAATTCAAATTTATAAATTATGACTCATTTTACAAAGAAAGAGTTATCTTTCTTTGTATCCCAAATGACAACTATTACATTGCTTCCAAACAATATTTTTATTTTCAACATTTACTTCAGTATGAGAGAACAGGCTAGAAATGATATTGATATCGTCAGAATATGAAAATATGATTAAATTATTTTTTTAAAAAGTGTTATGGAGAGGAAAAACTACCTATCCATTATTAATACCACCATACACAATGCATACAGATTACGGGGAAGAAAACTTAGGGGATATTTTCTTCTCGACGAAAATTTGAAAGATAATAACTCTCTCATTCTGCACCGTGCAATAATTCGGATGAATCCAAATATACGTGGCAAATCTCAGTGAACAGGACCATTACATACAAATTTTGAATTATAGTAAAAAAACGAATTAAACTACATCATACAGCTGTGTTGTCCTTTAAGTGATCATCAGTGACTTTATGGGTCTACAATTTGAAACCTAGGAGGCGACTGAGGAATACCAAAATCAGGATTAGAGAAAAAATATAAAACTATTTCATGTAGTGGCCGAATTCGTACTCGAATTCAACTCAACATGAAAGGAATGTTTACAATATAGAAACCAAGGTGAATAAAAAGTAAGTCTATTTCTTGGAAAAGTCAAAACAATTCTAAAGGAAACCGGAGATAAAGTGCATTTTATGTGAAAATTCAATAATTTACAACACATGTCTCCAGAGGTTTTCGTTGTATATATTGCGTACTATGAAATGATATTGTAGACAAACAAACTTGAATATTAAATTCTGGAAATAACAAATCTAATTCTGATTTGATTGATTTTTTTATTTATATCTTCAGCAAAACTCATATGTAAACGTCAGCAAAAATTATATGAAAACGTCAGCAAAAGTCATATGAAAACATCAGCAAAAGTGATATGAAAACATCAGCAAAAGTGATATGAAAACATCAGCAAAAGTCATATGTAAACTTCAGCAAAAGTCATATGTAAACGTCAGCAAAAGTCATAAGAAAACATCAGCAAAAGTGATATGAAAACATCAGCAAAAGTCATATGTAAACTTCAGCAAAAGTGATATGAAAACATCAGCAAAAGTGATATGAAAACATCAGCAAAAGTCATATGTAAACTTCAGCAAAAGTCATATGTAAACGTCAGCAAAAGTGATAAGAAAACGTCAGCAAAAATTATATGAAAACATCAGCAAAAGTCATATGAAAACGTCAACAAAAGTCATATGAAAACGATATCATGCACGTTTGGCAAAACACTGTTATTGTCTGGACACAGTATCACGGATTCTCACCTGGTCACTTTATAATGACACCCTTGACGTTCATACGTTCCTTACCGAACATTTATCGCTTGTATAGTCTCGGGTTGTCACGGTCAATGGAAAGGTGAAGATTCTGCTTTGTTTGGGCAGCTTTTATGTTTTTCACACTTCTGATTTTTTTTTCGATTTTTTTTTTTTTTTCTTTTTTAATACCTGTTTTGTATAAAATATAGAATGAGGATAGCATTCAAAAGAAAATACAAAATACACATTTTCATAGTCAAATTCTCCAACATAGATATAATCTTAATTCAAACGGCCTGCGATTTTAGGGTTTGCCTTTAAGATATTTTAATTCGAGTTGTGTCCCCTTAATCAGTTCACAATTCCAATGTTACATATGCTAATATTTCCTGTCAGAGTAGGACTCACTTATCAATTTATTAATCGAATTCATAGTTGAATAAAATGAAAGAAGTTTTCAGCTTCTCCCCATTGTCATCATTAGGTTCCTGTCCCATTACTACTGATCCTTTGTAATGTTTTATTTTTCCAGATTTGAATTTCTCATCTTTAGATTCTGGCATTGATCGGAAACTTGCTATACACTTATGAAATAGTTTAACAGATCTTCTGATTTTTGTAAAAAGTGCGTGTTTTTGAAAAAAGAATATATATATATTTACATGTTGTCTTCATGCAACAAAAATACAAGACTATTTCAGCCAATTTACGACTTTAAATTATGCTCTGAAATTGAATGTCTGTTACGAATGAAATTATTGATACCATTTGACTGGCATTTAATTGCACTTTAATTTGATAACAACACAACCGGCTGTCAAGCCTTCCTGGTGACACTTGGCATAAAGATATGATATAAAAAATATAACAATAGTTTACTCCAATGTGAAACTTGATATTGTACTTTAAAAACATTGACAATATCATCCGGAGACCGAGAAATTTTAATCCTTGGTATAACGTGGAACATTGATCTTAAAAAAATCCAGACCAAGTTCGGTTATTATTTCTATAAATTAATCGCCTCTTCTTTATTATCAAAATGTTTGATAATTCATGGATTCATAAGGGAAATTCAATTTTTAAAAATTGTCCTGAGGTATATGACTATGTGAGAGATAATTGAAATTTTTTGGTATTTATATTCTCATAAAATAATGACGATATCACAGAGTATATGACCCCATAAACATTGACGGTGATAAAAACATTGCTTATATCTACATGTACATACAAACATACATCTAAATTAATTTATAAATTGAACTATTGAGACTAAATAAGTTCCGTAATCGAGATATAATTTTCAACTTAAAGTGCAAGGTCTTTCAAAATATTTTATCTCGCTAAATGATATTATTGATCATTAAAATTAAACCAATAATGCTACAATATGATAATTGTGTATCATACTGATATAATTCTTATAGTTTGTTACGTGTCAATTGTAATATTTTTACTGGAAATCAGATTATACTAAATTTTTTATGATATGTCTTAATTCCACGACACAAACTTACGATATCTTTAAAATATTTTCATCATCTATGACGTGCTGTTAATTTGTTTTACAGTTCTATTCTCAAGACTCTATTGAGAGCTTTCTCCAAATCTATGAAAGCACAATATTTAGAGTTCTTTTTTTCTTTAGAAAATTTAATAAGAAATATTACAATGGAAATATATAATTAATAGCGGGAGGCTGCCTTTAGAACAATGGCTGGTTTATAAACATATTTATAAAGATGTTCATTTATCAGAACTGTAAATAATTTACCCAGACAACTAAGTAATGCGATCGTTTCATAATTCTTAAGCACAATTCATTTCGTCCTTTCTTCCTAAAGCATTGGTAAAATTACCATTGGGAAATAGACCGGGTATATTACCATTATCAAATATATTAATAAATATAATTCCATATAAGCGAGGCACATTGGCAGCAGTTGATTTAATATATTTCTTATACGGTAGATCTCAACATCAGCCATGTAGATTTCCGTCGTTTGAAATATTTTTATATTCTTATTAGAAATTATATCCTGAACCCTATCCTCTATAATCAAGGGCTACCAGGTAAGGTTTATATTTATAATCAAGGGCTACCAGGTAAACTTTTTTGAAAATTTATAATCAGGAACTGCCAGATACTCGTGAATACCAGGCGTTTTTTTTTATTTATTATCAAGTAATACCAGGTGTTTTTTCATTTATAATCAGGGACTACCAGGTAACACTGAATACCAGATAAATGGATTTTTTATAATGAGGGACCATAAGGTAAACGCTTTCATATATAATCAGGGACTGTCAGGTAAATGCTTTTTGTTGATAATAAGGGACTGCTAGGAGAATTTTTTATTTATAATCTGGGACTACCAGGGAAATATTTTTTTGAAATTTTAATCAGGGACTACCAGGTAAATGGATTTTTTCATTGATTATCAAGTAATATCAGGTAAATGCTATTCAATTATAATCAGGGACTACCAGGTAACACTGAATACCAGGTAAATGTATTTTTTATAATGAGGGACCATAAGGTAAACGCTTTCATATATAATCAGGGACTGTCAGGTAAATGCTTTTTGTTGATAATAAGGGACTGCTAGGAGAATTTTTTATTTATAATCTGGGACTACCAGGGAAATATTTTTTTGAAATTTTAATCAGGGACTACCAGGTAAATGGATTTTTTCATTGATTATCAAGTAATATCAGGTAAATGCTATTCAATTATAATCAGGGACTACCAGGTAACACTGAATACCAGGTAAATGTATTTTTTATAATGAGGGACCATAAGGTAAACGCTTTCATATATAATCAGGGACTGTCAGGTAAATGCTTTTTGTTGATAATAAGGGACTGCTAGGAGAATGTTTTTATTTATAATCAGGGACTACCAGGGAAATGTAATTACTCATAATCAGGTACTACCAGGTAAATGTTTTTATTTATATTCAGGGACTCCCAGGTAAATGTTTCTTATTTATAATCAGGGACTACCGGTAACTGTTTTTTTTAATTTCTAATCAGGGACTCCCAGGTTAATGTTTTTATATATAATCAGGTAATACCAGGTAAATGTTTCTTATTTATAATCAGGGACTACCGGTAACTGTTTTTTTTAATTTCTAATCAGGGACTCCCAGGTTAATGTTTTTATATATAATCAGGTAATACCAGGTAAATGTTTCCTATTTCTAATCAGGGACTACCGGTAACTGTTTTTTTAATTTCTAATCAGGGACTCCCAGGTAAATGTTTTTATATATAATCAGGTAATACCAGGTAAATGTTTCTTATTTATAATCAGGGACTACCGGTAACTGTTTTTTTTTTTTAATTTCTAATCAGGGAC